CAATTAAGAGAATAAATTTCCTACCTTAAGTCTTGAATTCCAAGTGTAGAAGCCTAATCTCTCAAGTCCTCTTCAATTTCTTCTAAGTTCACACAAAACTCTTGTTGAATTCAATTCTTCTTCCAACTCTCTCTCTCTTTCTCTCTCTCTCTCTCTCTCTCTCACTCTCACGGTTTGGTCTAGAGGATGGAAAATATGATCTACCAAACAAGTAAATCAAGCCTCAAACAATGTTTTTGAAGGTGGCCCACTAAATGGCAAAAATGTAATATACTGAATCAGGTCAAACAGATCATTAATGTGATTTAACATTAATTATTCCAATTTAATCATTCCAAATTGAATTTTAATTAAACCTACCATAAAATTCTATAAATCCTAACTAGCACATAAATCAAGTCAATTTCTGATTCGGACGCCGATAAGGCTTTCAATTCGTAATTTAAAGTCAAAGACATGAACAGATCATTTTATCGCAAACAGATAGAAACACGTAAATAATAGAATACATATACAAATTAATCCCAAATCCTTCCTAAATTACTATTAGACATAATTAAGTACGAATTACGTTAATCAGGGGTTGGGGTTATTACAGTCTTCCCCCCTTAAAAAGAGTTTGGTCCTCCAAACTCGAAATACCTTCATTCTGAGACAACATTGGGTCTAATGGAAACAAGTCCGGATATCTCTTCATCATGTCTTCCTCGGTTTCCCAAGTTGCATAGGTTCCTCCGTGGTTTTGCCAATCAACCTTTACCAACGGTATTTCTTTATTTCTCAACTTTTTGATCCGGCGATTCACAATCTGGATAGGTCTTTCCTCATAAGTGTAATCATCTGTCAAAAGCACATGTGTCGTCGATGACGTGGAGTGGATCTCTCAAATACTCTCGAAGCATCGATACGTGAAATACATTGTGCATATGCTCCATTACTGGGGGTAAGGCTACCCGGTATGATACTGGATTGATCTTTTCAAGAATCTCATAAGGTCCAACATACCTTGGCGCCAACTTGCCCTTAACACCAAACCAAGTTTGACCCTTCATCGGGGTCACGTTTATGAACACATGATCCCCAATTTCGTATTCCCTATCTCTTCTTCGGATATCAGCATAGTTTTTCTACCGACTCTGTGCAGTTTTCAAACGTTGCTGGATCAGCCTCACTTTCTCGGTTGTTTCTTGCACAAGTTCTGGTCCTAATAAAGGTCTATCACCTACCTCAGCCAAACATATCGGAGAACAACATTTTCTTCCATACAAAGCTTCGTAAGGTGCCATTTCAATGCTTGAATGGTAACTGTTATTGTACACAAATTTAGCTAAGGGCAAGTAGGTTTCCTAATTCCCTTGGAAGTCTAACACACACATTCTGAGCATATCCTCCAGAGTTTGGTTCGTTCGTTCAGTTTGGCCATCTGTCTGTGGGTGATAGGCACTGCTCAGTCTCAATTCAGTCCTCAAAGCCTGTTGCAAACTCTGCCAAAATCTCGATACAAACTTTGAATCCCTGTCAGACACAATAGATACTGGCACTCCATGCAACCTCACAATTTCAGTCATATAGATATTGGCCAATTTGTCAGCGTTATAAATAGTTTTAACAGGTAGAAAATGGGCAGACTTAGTTAAACGGTCAACTATAACCCAGATAGATTCCACACCTCGAGAAGAACGAGGTAATCCCATAATGAAGTCCATGGTAATGTGCTCCCATTTCCATTTCGGTATTGAGAGTGGTTGTAGCAAACCAGTAGGTCGTTGATGCTCAGTTTTAACTTGTTGGCAATGTAGACATCTAGCCACCAAGTCTGCAATACTCTTCTTCATTCCAGGCCACCAAAATTTCTGTTTTAAATTATGGTACATTTTTGTGTTCCCCGGATGCATAGCAAGCTTACTACTATGAGCCTCGGTCATAACACGTTTTCTCAAATCATCACAATCGGGTGCACAGAGACGGTTCTGGAATTTCAGCACATCATTCTCAAACACAAATCCTGGCCTTGGCTTCAAATCAAATTCCTCTACAATCTTTTTCAAGTATTCATCTTCACATTGTTTTTGTTTGATCTCATCAAGAATAGCAGGTTGGGCAGAAATAACAGTTGACAACCCAACTTGTTCCAGGTCATTCAGCAATTCCTTCCGGTTAGATAACAGGCATGACAAACTTTCCATTGATTTTCGGCTCAAGGCATCTGTTACGGTATTAGCCTTTCCTGGATGATACAAGATTTGCAAATCATAATCCTTGATTAGTTCTAACCATCGCCTCTGTCTCATGTTCAATTCCTTTTGGGTGAAGAAATATTTCAAACTTTTATAGTCTGTATACACCTCACAAGTTACCCCATACAAATAGTGGCGCCATATTTTCAGAGCAAACACCACAGCCGCTAATTCAAGGTCATGCGTTGGGTAATTCTTTTCATGAGGTCGAAGTTGTCTAGAAGCATAGGCAATCACCCTTCTGTTTTGCATTAGTACACACCCCAAGCCTTTATAAGAAGCATCACTGTACACTTGAAATCCATCAGTACCATTAGGCAAGATTAAGATTGGTGCAATCACTAACCTGGTTTTCAACTCTTGGAAAGCTGCCTCCCTTTGTTCATTCCAGTCAAATGGCACATTTTTCTGAGTTAACTGAGTCAATGGCACGGCCAGCTTGGAAAAGTCTTTCACAAACCTCCGGTAGTAACCTGCAAGTCCTAGAAAACTTTAGATTTCTGTCACATTTGTCGGTCTAGGCCAATCCACGACAGCTTCAATTTTCTGAGAGTCAACAGAAACTCCATCCTTGTTGATTACATGTCCCAAAAATGCCACACTATCAAGCCAGAATTCACACTTGGACAATTTAGCATACAATTTCTTTTATCTCAAAATCTGCAAGGTGGTTCTCAGATGGTTCTCGTGTTCTTCCCTGTCTTTAGAATATATCAGAATGTCATCGATAAACACAACAATGAATTCATCAAGATATTGTTTGAAAACCCTATTCATTAGGTCCATAAAAGCCGTAGGTGCGTTTGTTACTCCAAAAGGCATTACCAGGAATTCATAGTATCCATATCTAGTTCTGAATGCAGTTTTCTTTACGTCTTCTGCTTTAACCTTTAACTGGTGATAACCGGACCTAAGATCAATTTTAGAGAACACTTTAGCTCCTTAAAGTTGATCAAACAAATCGTCTATTCGAGGTAAGGGATATTTGTTCTTAATAGTCACTTTGTTCAATTCTCGGTAGTCTGTACACAACCTCAAGGACCCATCCTTCTTTTTGACAAACAAGACTGGAGCACCCCAAGGTGAGGTGCTCGGACGGATAAATTTCTTGTCTAAGAGTTCCTGTAGTTGAGCTTTCAGTTCTTTCAATTCAGAAGTTGACATCCTATATGGAGTCTTGGAAATGGGTTGTGTTCCAAGTGTTACATCAATGGTGAATTCTATTTCCCTATCAATTAAGTCCCCGGGTAGATCATTCGGAAATACATCGGGAAATTCACAAGCAACAGGGATAGTTTTTACAGTAATTTCGTCAAATGATGCAGTCAGTATACAACACAAGTAACCCCTACATCCCTTCCTAAGTAGTTTTACAGCCTTCATAGCCGAAATCAGATATGGGGGAGGAACTACCCCATTCCTAGTAAAAGTAAATTCAGGCATACCCAGTAGTCTAAACACAACAGATTTACTTGCACAATCAATGGTAGCACAGTATTTAGTTAACCAGTCAATTCCCAAAATATAATCAAAGTGGTCAATGTTCAAGGATAATAAGTCAACATATAACATCATATCGCCAATCATAATATCACATGCCTGATAAACATGAGTGCACATCATAGAATCCCCAGACGGCGTAGATACAGATAACACATATGTCATAAGTTCTAATGGTCTAGTCAATTTTTGAGAGAAAGCATGCGATACAAAGGAATGTGTAGAACCAGAATCTATCAATACGCATGCATCTTGAGAACATACAGAGAGTGTACCTGACACCACGGTATAGGTGTTTGGTACGTCACCAGGCACTAAGGCGAACACTCGACCCTGTCTCAGAGGCCCTTTCCTAGTATTGACCCTCGTATTCGTCTTGGATGCAGAAGCGGATCCGGCTGAGCTTGCCGCTGGTTGGTTGGTATTTTCGAACCTGATAGGACAATCCTTCATCATATGACTAGTCTTTCCACATCTAAAACAGGCGCCCAAAGCTCGATAACAATCCCCCTTGTGTTTCCTACCACATTCCGAGCAAGTCGGTATAGTACCACTACTTTGGCTTGAGTTACTGTAAGATCCTGTGTTTCGCCTCTTATTCCTAGAAAATGAATGACCCTTTTTGAAAATGTTTCCATACCTTGTCTCCATCCAATCAGTTCGTGGGGCGAGGGTTTATTTCTTCGCTGTTAGGATGGATTTTGCCATTAATGCCCTATCCAAAACGTTCACGTACGTGGGTAGGTTCAGGACTCCTACCCTATCCAGTATGTCCAGGTCCAACCCACCCTCAAACTTGCGGGCTTTCTTGTAGTCTGTGTCTACCATGTGAGGAGCAAACCTGGCCAGCTCAGTAAACTTAGCCTCGTACTGGGCTACAGACATTCTGCCTTGTTTGAGTTCTTGGAATTCTGAAACCTTCCGGTCTCGGAAGCACTGGGGAAAGTACTTGTCATAGAAAATTGTATTGAATTGAGTCCACGTCATATTCTCGTGGCCATTTCGAACTTGCGGGCTTTCTTGTAGTCTGTGTCTACCATGTGAGGAGCAAACCTGGCCAGCTCAGTAAACTTAGCCTCGTACTCGGCTACAGACATTCTGCCTTGTTTGAGTTCCTGGAATTCTAAAACCTTCCGGTCTCGGAAGCACTGAGGAAAGTACTTGTCATAGAAAATTGTAGTGAATTGAGTCCATGTCATATTCTCGTGGCCATTTCGAACCAGTAACCACCACATTCGGGCTTCATCCTTCAGAGTATAGGTGGCTAGGAGGACCTTCTGGACTTCAGAACAAAGGAACACCTCATACAGTTTCTCAATTTCCAGTAACCACGTCTCTGCTTTCAACGGTTCAATTTCACCATAGAATGTTGGCGGTTTCATTTTCATGAACTTCTGTGTCAAGTTGATGATGTCACCGGTGTCCATTTCAACTTGAGCCGGCAGGGGTAGAGGTGGTAAAGGTTGTTGCCTCTGTTGTTGCATCACCACTTTGGTTAAGGTTGTAAGCATTTGTTCCATTCTATTCATTCGGGCATCAGAGGACCCTGCTGTGTCATCATTCCTTGCATTGTCCATTTGCTATAGGTAAACAAAACTTTATGTATTCAAATTCACATGTTTATATTTGAACTTATGTTTTCATTTTCGAACAATACACATAAACATGCAGATGGAATGTCCCTACTTCTTACTAGGACTTCCTAAGCTCGTATGGACCTGTGTGTGCGGTAGAACTCGTGCTCTGATACCACTCTGTCACGACCTAAACCCGCCCCTGTAGGTTTAGCACCGTAACCGGCCAGTAATCCGAGGATTACCCAAGACCTCTAAACAGATTAACAAATAATAAGGGGTTGCGGAAGCAATAAAACCAAATAGACAAGGTCCAATGAGCTATGATAACGTACATGAGACAGAAAATTTCAAAACTTATATATATACATAAGCATGCCAGTCAAGGATAACAATATTTACAAAAGTGTACATCCCAAGACCTGTCTTTACAACACATACAGAGACTAGCATGAAAACAAAAACAGCCATAGCATTAGGCTTCGACCGGAACCTCCTTGGGAGGCGCAACAGTTGGCTGACAAAAATAGAACGGAAGGCCGTCAACTTGGGCCCTGGTCGCATGGCGGCTCACCTACATACATAATATAAACTGTGAGCGAAAGCCCAGTGAATAATAACAGAGTAAAGAGTTTAATGAATGATGTCCATCACACGGTTAGAAATCAAATTCTTATTAGAAATAGAGTTTTACGCATATTCAGATTCCAAATCAGAAACAGATTCATATACATATTCATAATCATTTCCATATTCAGATTTCACATATAATTATACGTGGTACATCCATTAGCGTTAACAAATTCGATGACCCATAAAGGGACGGCCTTAAAGGCATTCCTATGACTCATGTGCATAGAGACGTTTCTGATGACTCATGAAGGGACCTGATGACCCATGAAGGGACGCATATCATATGATGCTAAGGATGCCACGAATAACTTTCACAATTTTGGACAACCAATCATTCATTTCAAATATAGCATAGCATTTCAGAGAATTAATTATTTCGTATCATAATATTCAGAAAATACTTAACATTGAACATAACTTTACAAATTTATTACTCACAGTGGGCCTTGAGACAGACAGAAGGAGTAAACTTGGTCAAACGGTACGTGGCACGTGACCTACACAACACATAACAGATGCACACTTGAAACATACGTTCTAATTGCACAAAACTTATGTTGTTAGTTCTTAGTGTGTTTCTAACCTTAAATCCTCACTATAGAGTCTTAAACATGGCTTAGGAATGTCTAGGATGGAATGAGGATGTAAAGAAGCACTTTAAAACACTTTTCAAAATTTTGCTGAAACAGGGGTCCCACTCGAGCGTGGCCTTCTACGCTCGAGCGGACATACAGACAAAAGGAATCCTCTCGAGCGTGGATTATTCCGCTTGAGCAGACTACAAGCTACAGTAAAAGTACTGGATGCATGAAATTCACGCTCGATGGGCGCTCGATACGCGCTCGAGCGTGAGACACAAGTCTCGCTCGAACATGCATTACCCCGCTCGAGCGGACTGTAAACACATGTAAAGTACTGAATACACCCATTTCCCGCTCAAGCGTCACTTTCCTTGCTCCAGCGGACTGCATGAACTCAGTGTGTACGCTCAAGCGTGGAGTTACCCGCTCGAGCGTAAGTCCAAAATCTAGAATTTCTAGATTTGAACCTCAAGCTCAAAACTCAACTCTAATGCATCAAATTCGATCCTTTTGGGCTAATTTTCTGGAAGACTCTTGTAAACTCATAATATGACATGTTTTGAAGATCAATTTTGTAAAATGAAGCCCAAAGGTAAGTCAATTGAACGCAATTTCAACAATACTTTCAAGAACATGATGTACATGCAACAAACATGAGCTTAAATGAATTTAAAGCTCCAAACACAAGATCAAATGGGCCAATCTTTTCAAAAACATGAGGAAATCATGAACTAGAACCAGAATATGAACATGCATGTGGAAGTTTTCATGAAAACAACCTCAAAACTCAACAATGTACACATGCATGCAAGAATTCCTACACAATTCAACATTTAGAACCAAAACTTGACTCTAAACTCTAGTTCACCATGAACCATGCAAGAAGTAACTCAAAATCACAATGGAGAAGATGAATTCTCTACCTTATGTCTTCAATTTTAAGGTGTAGGAGTTTAATTATACAATTGTTTCTTCAATTCTTCAAATTTCCTAGCCAAATTCTTAATGAACTCAAATTCTCCTACTCTCCCTCTCCCTCTCTCTCGAATTGGTCTTGTGGATGGAGAAGAGCGATGAAAACAAACACCTAATTCAAGTCTAAACATTGGTTTAGATAGTGGCCCACCAAGTGGTATTTTGGTAATTTACTCAAACAAATATAAATTAACATGATTTAATCTAATTTAATTGCTCCGAACCGAATTATAATTAAACCTACCATAAAATTCTATAAATCCTAACTAGCATATAAATCAAGTCAATTTCTGATTCGGACGCCAATAAGGCTTTCAATTTGCAATTTAAGGTCAAAGACATGAACAAATCATTTTATGGCAAACAGATAGAAACACATAAATAATGCAATACACATGCAAATAAATCCCAAATCCTTCCTCAATTACTGTTAAGCATAATTAATCATGAATTA